GGTTATTATCCACTGATAATCAATCATTAAATAAAATGAAAGGATCTAAAATCGCGCAAATACCTTTTTTCCACCCTGTTAATTCTGCTCTTTGGCCCGACTCAATTTTCACACTTAACATCTTTTTTTTCGCATAAAGCAGATTGCACATTGCACGGGCATCTGGGACAGAAAGAACAACGGTAATCCGCTTAAAAGATGACGGATAATGACAAGGAAAAAGAACCTGAGCACCAGTTTTAAGCGAGCGCTCTTCGAATTCAGTTAGTGTGGTAAGAGCCATTGATCAATTGTTCAAATGTTTTAAAGCCCTCGATTAATTCTCAGACACTCACCTCTCCGATTTCTTTCACTGCTACAATTTATGGTCCAAGGATTTCCAACACAATTTCTAATTGAACGGAGCAGTCACAAGATTTTAAAATAATTGACACACATTTTTCCAAAAATGTCAATCATTCATTAGGAGAGACTCTTCTCCAGAACTTGATGAAAAGCAGAGGCATACTGTAATATTGGCTGAGATGGTTGTGGGTGATTATGCAAAACAAAAAAACTCTTCCTTAAAGATATTGTTAATTATTCGCTTCGTCGATTGGCATAGGTCCAATTTCCTAATAAATGTTTTGCATTAAAAAAAGAGTTTGCGTGCATTATGCATAATCGAGTATTATCAACCAACTAAATCCCAAAGTAACTAATTCAAGTACAAAAACAACTTAGAACCTCATAAATAATAAAGGAGTGGAGTATTTCAACGGAGATCAAACTTGAACTTTCATATTTTGCGTGATGTTTCCCTCATGTTTGAGAAACTCAGTGGCTGTTCGCTAGGGTTCTAACTGGTGTTTTCTGAGAACATGCCCTCTGTACTCTACTACTTCGTTGTCATTGTTTTTGCCTCCCTAATACCGGAAGGACAAGGTAAGATTATATCACAGTTATGACTTTGTTATGGTTTGTGTATATTTCAAAGTTTACCAAGGCGATAAGTTACTTTTTTAAAATTATTTCGTTGACAATGGCTAAACTTTACAATAATCGCACGCGCTTCTCCTACTAATATCAAATGTAATGAATTATTTCATCTTGATTCAAAAAGGGGCGCTTATTGGAGTATCTTAAAGCAAAGTTAACTTTAGAAATAAAACAGTCACTGTCTCTTCAATGAATTGAAGTCCAAGGACGTGTTCGACTTTTTTGATTTTGCACGGTGGATTAATTGAATACTATAAGATTCAAAGGCTTATTTGAACTCAACTGAAATGGCTTGGCTTGTTCAACTAAAAACTTTATACAGGAGCAAAGCTTTTTAATTCTTAGTAAAGAAACCTTTTAATTCGTCACAGCAAAGCAACATAACGCATTGTTAGAGCAGTGCTTCAAACTTGGCACTTAACATATTATCTGTGGAAAAACCTGACTCTTTTGCACAATCAGCTCCAAAGTTGATCTAAGTTTTGGTTCATATTTCAAAAAACCTAAATCGAAGACTGAATTTGTGTATTCCGGCGAGTTGGTAGAACTATGGCATAAGTTATTAATGATCCACCCCAGAAAGAAAGTTCTAACTTAGTCTGAGGCAAAACAGGTGCTTCAAATAAAATATTTGTTTAACAAAGACGATAGTTGACATTTTAGGATTTATTTCTTCCGTCATACTCAATTATCTCCTTGGGGTGTACATGCTCGAGGGTAAATTTCAGCGTTTCGCATTTTAGAGCTCGTTAATACATAGTATGCATAGAAAACGTTTGTTACGTCTTTAGAAGTAGAAAGCCAGGACCTTGATAGTGTAAAAAGAGTTTGTCAAAATTGCTTGACGTACCATGGACTTCATAAAGTTAAGAGGCTTGTGATTTATACGCGAGCGACTAATTTTGTTTCCTTGCGCTTTTCATAATACGCATATTGATCGAAAGCTGAAGTCACGCGACATAAAAACAAACACTTCTCATGAATCGATAAAACAAAAAAATTCACGACACGTTCCGATAATATCCTTTTTTAAAAGAACCAAACATGCTCAGAGGAGAGGACCATTATTACGTGATAAACACGACTTACGCTATATTTTATCAAAGTTGTTTATGGAGTTCGGGAACAATCGATCGATCACGATAGCTGATCATAACCAAAGAAAGATAAACATGATAAGTCAGATTATTAATATAAATCACTCTCCTAGTGTTAAACCAAAGCAATAATTCAGAAGTAACACTGCTCTACAATTCCAGTCTCAATAGAGGTGCTCAATGTGACATAGCAACTTTCTTCATATAATCGTTCACCAGGCAACTGCCGCAATTTGCAGTTTACCAGTTTTGCTAAACCTGGCTACAGGTTGGAGAATCACACGGTTCGAACTATTGAAGTATTCGACGAGGATCTCTGCCAGTTACAATGCTATCTGGAACCTAACTGTGTCAGTTATAACTTCCATAAGCTAAGACAGGCATCTGGAACACACAAGTGTGATCTGAATAACGCCACCATTGACCACGATGGAGAACTGGTAAAAAGCGAAAGTTACATTTACCGCGGAGCTGAGGTGAGGATGACGTTTTTAAGCCAAGAGTATGGCACTTTATACTCGTTGAGGCTTTTTTCTCAAGACCAAGCATCCCTCAGCCTCTGCCACTCCTCTAAATTCTCCTTCCACCCACCAGAATATAGGTTACGATAATTGAACGTTTAAAATGTTGAAATAAAGAATTAAGAGAGGCATACTTTGTTATTTACGAATGACCACCTATGGAGCTGTATAAGATACACGCAGACTTTGCTCTCGCTCTGAACAGTGCCATGCTTGGAAAGGGAACAAATGTGCTCAACACAAACATTTGCGTAAATAACAAAAAAGCTTGCGCGAAATACATGGACATGAGGGAAGACGCGCAGATTTTACAAACATGCATAACATTCAGAACTCGCAAACATGAATACACGCGCAGAAGACAAGCACAAAAATTGAAGCGGTCGTATTCTTTTTCTTCTTAAGAATGCTTGCGCCAGTAATCCTTGCAGAAATAATGCAACGTGCCAAGCTGGCTTTACACACAGAGATTATCAGTGTTTGTGTGCTTTTGGATCTGGATTTGAAGGCCACGATTGTGATAAAGGTGAGGAATCCTCTAAATTTTTTTGTAGTCAGTAAAATAAATGTGTGGCCATTTCTTATCTGACAACGGGAACGTTAGCATGGAGGCGAAAACACTTGCGGCCAGAGCACGTCAAATACTCACAATGTGTGTGGAAATGGAACTAACTGCAAAGGTAATTTGTTATCATCAAGTGAGTTGATAGCGTAAAATAGGCCATTGTTACGAGTTTAAAATCTAATGTTTCGAGCGTTAGTCCTTCATCAGAGGAAATGGAGGAATTGTGGGTTGTGTGTCTGTTTATATGCGGAATATGGAGTTATGCTATTGACGGGAACATGGTAACGAGAAAACAAGAATAAAATAGCTGACTATAACATCCCAAAAATCTACTAAAGTAAACAAACAAGAATATAATAACACAACAAAACACAAGATAAAAACATAAAAACAGGTTCCGTATAAAAGATGCTTCTTTTTAATTCTCTAGACTTGGACGAATGTGCTGACGGAACACACAACTGTGATGTGAATGCTGAGTGTAACAATACCCTGGGATCGTACAACTGCAAGTGTAAAGATGGATTTCGTGGAAATGGAACTAACTGCAAAGGTAATTTGGTATCATCAAGTGAGTTGATAACGTAAAATAGGCCACTGTTGCGAGTTTAAAATCTGAAGTTTCGAGCGTTAGTCCTTCGTCAGAGCGAATGAGGGAATTGTGGGTTGTGTCTGTTTATGTGTGGAATATGGAGTTACGCTATTGGTGGGAACATGGTAACGATACAACAAAAATAAAATAGTTGACTGTAAGATCTCAAAAATCAATTAAAGCAAACAAACGAGAAACAACAACACCACAAAACACGAGATAAAAACATGAAACAGGTTCCGTATAAAAGATGCTTCTTTTTTAATTTTCAAGACCTGGACGAATGTGCTGACGGAACACATAACTGTGATGTGAATGCTGAGTGTAACA